TAAACCCATAAATCCCTAAATCCCTAAAACCCTCAGAGCTAGGGCATTGGCAGCTTTGCAGCCATGGTCGGAGAAAGTACTGGAATGCGCAGGGGCAAAACTTGATGGAAGCCGTCTACGAAAAAAGCCAAAACCAGCGGGAAATGTTTTTCAAGAGAATAATATTAATAATAATAACAATAACAATAATAAGAATGGTATAGTAAGCACAATAAGAAAAGAACTCATGATATAATATAATAATAATAATAATATTAATATTCATATTAATAATAGTGCCAGTAGCTGGTTTTCATGGTAGTCCCAATGCAATCCCTACATAACCCATCATCCCGCAACACATGATCCCAAATAAATTCCCATAGTAGTCCCATTATATTCCCACTGTTCCCCAACACGATGTGCTGGTAGGATGCACACCTTGCATCCTGCACACAATGCGACTTCGGAGCCACGATGAGCCCACTCTCCGAGTTAAAGGTCTTCAAGAAGAATGAGGACATCAATAGTACTAATAGTGACAATAACCATAAGAATAATCATAGTAGCAATAATATGAATACATAAATTATAATAGTAATAATAGCCCCATGAGTAGTGATGTCTTTTCTTTCGGGTGGTTCTTTGCCTGACTCTTGGAGCCTTCACAACTTCTCGCGCCCTAAGGCTGACGGTAACTTCGATGGCCCAGTGATGGACTCCATTGAGGGGTTGGTGGCGCCCACCTCCGAGTCCGACACTAGATTGGCCGATGCGCAAGGTTAATAAACTACAAGGACGTCTGAGTGTCCGTTAGCAAGTTAGCTGCCTTCGCTGACAAAGCCTTTGCCCGCAAGAACCATGGAAATACATCAGGTTTGCGCACCAGCAAGCTATCTTTAAAACTCCGGATGACGTGCTCACAGTCAGAAACGATAAAGCCAAGCCCAAACGGCCAGAAACGTCTCAGTCTTCAGCAGCAACTGCTACCTCACTTGCCAGACCACTCCGCAAACAGTTGCAGCACCTCCTGGATACTTGCCATGTCATGAAAAGACAGGACACTTGAAAGGTCAGGGAGACTCGGTAAGTTGGTTAATAACCCCTATAACTTATAACCCATATAGTAACCCCATTTATCCCCCTTATTCACCTACTTACTAGGTGCCTTTGACCCTAAACCCTCAATGTAACAGTTTCCATTTTCTTTTCCATTACTACTATATAACCCTATATATAACCCCTATATGATCCCTATATATCCCTAAGTTCCCCGGACCCCCTAAACCCTAAACCCTAAACCCTAAACCCATATATATATATATATATCCCTAAGTTCCCCTGACCCCCAAGCATGGATTGCCAGACCGTGCGCCAACTGTGGCCAAGGCATCTGTCTCCCTGCTGCGCCTGCAAGACATCATGGGGGTTTAGGGTTTAGGGTTTAGGGTTGTAGCCCCTCCTTTTTAGGGCCTTATAAGGGTAATATAGGGATAATATAGCAATATAGGGGAATATAGGATTATGTAGGGGTAATGGAAAAGAAAATGGAAACTACCATGATTCATGGTAATGTAGACCCTAACTAGTGTAGACCCTTATAGGGATTCTATAGGGGTTATATAAGGGTTATATAGGGATCATAGAAAGGAAAATGAAAACTACTATATAGGGTTTAGGGTCAAGGGGTTCATGTAGACCCCTGATTAATAAACCCCCTCCTTTTAAGGGCCTTCATATTAGGATCCCTGTTATCACCACTACTAAAGCGGAAGGGGTTTATTTAGGGTCTACAAAACCAAATTCACAGATCTAGGATCACCCCAAGTCCCATTGGAAGTTGCGTGCGCCATTTATTCTGCCCAGCCTCGCGCACAAAAACTGCAATGTGCAATATACAACTGCGCACACGGCTAGTGCCCCGGCTTAGGACATTTGCAACTTCAGGGTCGCAAAGCAGCTGGGATTCCTGCAAGCAAACTCTTTGAGCTTACCTTGCCTGTGGCCAACGCAGGAGGCCCACAAAACAATCTGCCGCATCTTCAAATGTCGTGCAAGTGCTGGCAGGAGGAAGCATAAAAAGAGCATCCGTCACACCACAAACTGGTTCATGACTAGTTGCCTTGGGCACTGCATGTACCTAAAACAGCCACAGACATCAAGCGCGAATGTAGAAGCGTCGGACCATTACCCCCTTGGCTGTGGTCCGTTCTGTGCACATTTCATGACCTTGCATGAAGCGCTTGAGAGTCACAGGCGCGCAGGGCACATGCGCTCCGGATTGGAATTGCTCCGAGACAAGTACACCATCCATCCAGCGGGTCTTCTGTCTGAAGAGTAGCCCGTCAGGATCCAAAATCTCCTGTTCTGTGCCATCCTGAGTTGTGTTTATGGGAAATTCAAATGGAAACGAAAATGGACAATGAAATGGAAATTACTATAATTGGGTTATATAGGATTTAGGCTTGAGGGTTACTATAGTATTCCCCTAAAATAGAAAATCAAATGGAAATTTGAATTGGACGCAGCGGGCTCTGAGCTAGGCGGGCACTAAATCAAATGGAAAATGAAATGGAAACCCAGCATCTGCCTTGATGACGCATCTCTCTTCCTTGGGTGGACCGGTCGACACCACGAGATTAAAGACTTCCAGCTCATCGGCATTCTGCATGATGGTTTGGGTGTGTTTCCCAACACCGTAGCCGATGCTGGCAGCCAGTCTGCGCATCATCCACGAGGTCCCGCGCTCTCGTAGGTAGGCCTCCCAGTCCTGACATGGTCATGTTCATGTTCATTCTTGTTTTTGGTGTTATTATTGAAACATTTGGCAGTGCCGGCAGTCTTCAGCATTTGAAGACAAGTGCAGCTGAGGCTCCCCCTCTACTCTGGAGCAGACCCACTTGCCACTGAAGTCAGTAGCTGAGCTCAGAGGAGTGAGTGGCGAAGAGGACTCCGAGGACAGCGATCTCGATGATCGTTCAAGAGTGAAAATTTCCTAGGTTGAATTAAATTACCATAATGGGTAGATATAGTAATTAAAATGGTGTCTCCGTTATAGTAACTGAAATTGAATACCTTAACAGCAACCCAGCTTCTGATCCTGCTAGGGTTTCTGCATCTTCGTCCACCACATCCACTTCGCTCTGGATTGGTTCAATGGCCGAGGGTTTGACAAGTTCACCTATATGCACCACTTGTGCGGGGAAACGCTCTTCATGTCCCACTCCAATCTCAGGGTGCACACAGTTCCCCATGGCGGTCTCTAGGTGCTAGATTAACTAAGCCCTGACCGGGGACTGAGCCAAACCAGCTGAAGGACAAAAGGTATTCTCAAGCACCACTAGGCCTGACACTTGCAAGTGCACAACTGTCACAACTGCCTTTTGTCAGCACAATGCACGGATGATCTCTGAAAATGTCCTGCCGTTGTCTGCTGCATTTCCTTGGTAACCGCTTTGCAGTATATCACGGCTGAGCAACAACTGCCAGAAGCTGATTCTGCTCGAAGATGCCAAAGACGCCGCAGTAGCGGGAAGATCCGATGACAGGGGGCTTGGTCTGGAGATCGCTTCCTGCTCCGTGATGTGCTTTTGCAGCTGGAGCTGCCCATCAGCCCAAGGGGTCTTGTAGAGTTTGGAGCTTGGTCTCATCTTTGCAGATCGAAAAGATAAAAGCCTTCTCCATGTTCATCCTGCATGAAAGTCTTGGTATATGTATACCCTGCAGACGTCATGCGCTCCAAAAAGGCTGGAACCCCGGCTTGCCGATCCTGCACAGGGGATTGGCGTTGACATCATCAAAGTTGCCCAATGACTAAACTCCAAGTACCCCCCTCATTAACCCCCATAGTAGTCCCCAATATAATCCTCTATATAACTCCCCCTTTAAGGAGTTTAGACCCTAAACCCTAAACCCTATACCCAATAGAAACCTATAATGATACTACCTTATAATACCTTATATCATCCCCTTTAAGGAGTTTAGACTATAGCTCATCTTGCTGCATTTCAACCAGAAGAATCCTTGGGCGCGACGAGGATCATCGAGCCCGACGTAGACAAAAGGTTCAGCGCACATCCTTGTGTCAGCCGTCATATAGGGATTATATAGGGGCTATATAGGGCTGTATAGTAATAGTGGAATTAAAATGGAAACTGCTATACATCATTTAGGGTTTAGGGTTTAGGCTGGGGTCAGGGGGACTTACGTAGTAAGTAGCTTAATAATGGAGATAAATGGGGTTACTAGAGGGTTATAGGGGTTATTAAGCTACTTAAGGTTCAGCGCACATCCTTGTGTTAGCAGTTAGCTCTGACGCCTACAAGTAGCAAAGTATATAACATCAATACGCAAAGTACAATGGCTTGGGATGCCTGGGATGGTCCAAATACCGGGTAGAATGAAAAGGGAGGCTCCAAACTTGAAAAATTACGATTTGCAGGCCTTCTCCGCTTGAAAAGACTCTGGACACTGGTCTCCCAATCTTGCAACCAAGCTCCTGCCGAAGCCCGAAACCCGAAACCCCTGGAGACACTTCCTGGCCCATCCTTCGATTGGTGGTACGGTACAGTAAACTGTTTCGTTGCTGAAAGTCGTGAAGATAGGAAAGATACTCTGCAAGAGTGCGCTTTACATGCTTTTGTAAACGGCTCTTGCAAAAGGCCGCTCTGATTTTCCATCATCTGGGTACGAAAGCCTCGGAGGGAACCATATCATGTGTAAGCCGTTTCATAAATTTAGGGATACTTTGTGGGGGGCTCCTGGAAGGTACCGATTATAGTCTTGGGGGGTCTTCATTGGTGTCCACCAACCTTGGGAAAGTACCACATACTTCCCTAAACCATAACCCCTATGTAAGCCCTATAACCCCTATAACCGCCTTTAAAGGTACCCCTTGACAAGTAGCTGGCCAAGTCATCTCCGAAATGTCCATACACGGTGTCAGAGCTGATCACAAGATCCGCCCGCTCCTCAGGGAATAAGTCTTAACTCCTTAAGAGGGGGTTATATAGGGATTCTGTAGGGGATGATAAGGTAACATAGGGGATTATACGGGGGTTATACAATATAGGGGATTATATTGGGGATCTATACGGGCGCAGCGGTCAAAAATCTCTGCCTTCAATGCCAAGCCGTCGCTTGCATCGCTTGCACGCCAATCAACCGCTGCGGTTTGCACATGGCACCTCCCTTTCCTTAAGTCAAAGAGATGCTTGTTGGCCGCAATGTTGTGCTGGATGTTTCCCACCTAGCATCGCTACAAATCGCACATGACCGAGAGATACAGGCCACCCTCTTATATAGGGGTACAAAGAGACTTTGCCACGCGGCCGTTTCTGTGTCGCAGTCCGTCAGAACGACGTGGCGGGCACCCAGGGCAGCAGCAACCAATCCTTGCCGAAACAGAATTCCTCCACTTCGGTTCAGTGCACCCAGTTTACCGGGGTTCCATCTTTTATAAGTCTAATGTACCGTCATCTATATTAGAATCTTCATTGTTGGGGGGGATTACTGCATATAGATCATAATCCGCTAAATGACCTCCTGTATAATCCCCTAGAGAATCCCTGTATAACCCCCTTTAAGGAGTTAAGACTTATCCTACACCCTAAACTCTAAACCCAAAACCCTAAACCCTGAACGCTAAACCCTGAACCCTAAACCTTTAAGCGCCATGGGCCTGCGAGGCCGCAGCCGGCGCCCAGGTCGAGGATGCATCGATCCTACACAGGCGCTCACAGGACCAACCATGGGCAATCTGAAAGGCATGACTATGTGGGGTGCCTTTAAAGAGGATATAGCGATTATATGGGTTCTTTAGGGATATATAGGGTTTAGGGCTTAGGGGCTTCCCCCAAATTGTGGGTACCTTTTTGAAGGTCCGCAGAATAATTAAGGATTGTAGCGTTTTGGGTTCTATCTTTGGGTCCCCCTATTCTTGGAAACTACCATGTTCGCATCCTGCTAATGCAGTGCTGTATTTTTGCATAACCCTAAACCCTAAACCCCTAAACCCTAAACCCCAATAGCAAAGGCTTGGATTTCACGGCAACCAACATGCGCATGCTCCTCCACCAAGTGCGGTCTTCGCAGGAGCTCCTGCAATCACATTAATCATGAAAACTTATCCAAATATGTTTCTGGGTTTAGGGTTTAGGGTTAAGGGTTATATAACCCCTACACAATCCCCATATGATCCCTATGTAATCCCTATATGATCCCTATATAATCCCTATATTATCCCTATATAATCCCTATATTATCCCTAAATGATCCCTATATGATCCCTATATAACCCTATATTCAATATCTCAACACTAGGACCCAGCCCAGGGCCATGCCAATGAGCCAGCTCTTGCGGGGATGAACCCTAAACCCTAAACCCTATAGGGATTATATAGGGATTCTATAGGGATCATATAGGGATCATATAGGGATCATACAGGGATTATATAGGGATTATAAACCCTAAACCCTAAACCCTAAATCCTGGGCCAAAACCGATCCAGCCGGCCAAAGCTGGTTTCCTGTGGATCCATGCACACCGTCCTTGGCACTACTATAGGGATTATTTCATACAGGGGTTATATAGGGATCATATAGGGATTAAAATTAAAGGGGTTATATATTGGGATAATGGAAAAGGGAATGGAAACTACTATAGTATATTGGTGTTATATATTGGTGTTATATCTGTGATAATGTAAAATGAAATGGAACCTACGGAATTATATAGGCTTACATTGGGGTTATAGCAAAATGTCGATTTGACAACGTGCCAAATGCTGGTGTTGTCATCTGTCGTTGTTGTTAAGATTACGGAAAGAATCTCGCACGACATTCTCAATTGTGCTGGCGCAGCAAAAGCTGGCCTGTATTGCAGACTTATCCAACAGTTGCAGTCAGGTACCGTTTTGAAAAACGTGTGCTTATGTGTGCTTGGGAGGGGGTCTGCTACAACTACTATAAGTAATATTACTACTACCACCACCGCCTCCACCACAACCTCCTTCTCCTCCACCTCCACCTCCAACTCCACCTAAACCACCACCACCACCACCACCACCACCACCACCCACCACCACCACCACCACCACCACCACCACCACCACCACCACCACCACCACTGCTACGGCTATGGCCATTGCTACTGCTACCACGATCACCACTGCCATAAATACCGTCTCCACTCTACTAACGAGATCATGGATTTCGTCTAACAATAGCCAGTCGCGCTCCAGTGGGCCCAGGCGGGTTACAAAGCACCACTGTCGAACACAGCATGCGCAGCTGCGCCAAAGTTCCAAGAATTGCAGATTGCAGCATGGGCAACTAAGCAAATGTTGCAAATACATTTGATTTGAAATGGCATTTTCGATGACGTTGGCTCCTGCATGTGTCAATGTCCTCTGAATTCAATCTGGCTTTTCCAAGGCCCCCCATGCTCCCCTTCCATCTTCAGCCTCTTCCATTCTTTTGGCCACATCGATGTCTTCGTGCTTATTAAAATAGTTTCCATTTTAGTTTTCCATTATCCCAATACAGCCCCAATTAACCCACCCCTACCCCCTCCCAGTGCGCTCGATCCGGGTGCGATCGGCTCCGTTTTCGCATTTTTCCTGGGAGGGTGGGGGGGGTCAGTTGGTTTTTTGGATTTCCGAACCCTCCGGCCTGGGTCCGAAATGCAGAGTCCTCCTGGGCACCACGCCAAAAACAGCGTTTGGGAAGGGGGAGGGGGACGGGGGATGGCTGCCAGACTACCCTTGCCGAGGCGGTCTCGCGTTAGCGATAAATTATATTAGTTTCAAATTTATTTTCCATTATCCCAAAATATAGCCTTATTCCACCATCTCCCCTTCTCCCTCTGCTGTTCCTCCCCATCTGCATGCACCCTGCCTTCCATTTCAGAACCCAAAGCCTGTTCGCGCTCCTCACCACATTCTGCTCCATGCTCCCGTCCTCTCTTCTCCGGATCTTTGCAGGCTTTTAGAGTTTCAGAAATTGCAAACCAGCCATTCGCTGTAGATCAATAATATCCCTACTTTCCTATAATCCCTACATAAACCGTATATAATCCCTACAGTTTCCATTTTCTTTTCCATTACCCCTATAAAACCCCGCTATATACTCCTGATATCTTCCAACTTCTCTCTCCCAGCTCAAGCAGTGCCAAGGATGGAACTGCAGAGTTGAGTAGTGTGTTTTTTTTGGGTGGTTGAACCTAGTAAGATAATATTCCTTATATAAAATACTATACCCCAAGAGGAGGATATGATCTTACTCTATATTGGGTACCATAGTATCCCCAAATAAAAACACCCCTAAACCCTGAACCCTTAAGTTGTGCATTCCGAGAGTCGGCAAGGGGCAACTCGCGGATCACCACGCGAATGTCCGACTCCGATGGGTCTGAGTGTCGAAGAACCACAACCTGGTAGTTTCCCAAAATAAGCGGGTTTAGGGTTTAGGGTAAGCGGACCCCAATATAGAATACTATAGTCTTTATTATAGGGACTCCCAAAAAGGTACCCCTAATTTTGGGAAACCACAACCTCATGGAACTCCCCCACGGCATCACTTGGAGCAGGCGCATCAGGGCTTGACAGCATTCAAGTCGAAATGTCCCTATATCTAGTTCTACAAGTTGCCGTTTACCGCCAGGGGCATGTTGTGAAGATGAGCTGCAAGGACATTGGCCTGATTTGGCCTGTAATTTAACGTCTGTGCCAAGGGTCCACGGTAAAGTTGCGTTCATGGTGGTCGACTGATGCTGATGGCAGCAGTTGCGACAGTTGCACACCCTTGTTCATGCATGCTACCGGTACGACAATCACGTAACTGGCTACATGCTTGTCAAAGAACCTGTTTTAACAGTAAGGATTGCGCAAGCCATCCCCCTTCCATGGTGTCCACAAGACACCAACGGAACAATGTTCTGAACAACAGGGGAAGACCACGCCAGGGCAAGTGAACCTGCTGGTCGAAAATCGGCCTGCAAGACCCTCCAAGCAACAGCAGCTCCATGCGTCTGTCATGAGAAGCACAACCCCAAAGTGGGCTTTCCGGAGCTGGCCTCAAAATTCATAGGAAGGCCAAACAAATTCAAAGGAGTCAAAGCTTCCTGAGGGCAACTCTGTCTGGTGCAGAGGCCTGCAAGTTGACCCAAACGAGCAGCACGGGTGGCAGATGCTCCTCTGGGTTGGCCCCTAAAACCCTTTGAAAAATATTAGTATATAGGGTGCCTTATTAAAGCCATTAGGGAAAATACTAAATATCCCAGGGGCCTACCCAGTCCTATACGAAAATGTTTGTGGAGAATTGCTCGTGCAAGCGGATGTCACGCGACGACGACCCCACCTGGAAGTAGCACCCCATTGCAGGAGCAGAGTAGCGGAAGTGTCTCGATGCACAGACGTTATAGCAGTCTCGAAATGCTGACAGCTTGCACTGACTCCAAACACACCCCCAATTTGACGCCACGAATGTTTGTCCTTAGCTTGAAAGACGATGATGACTCCGGAGACAATGTTACAGTCAGTCTTACTTTCGCAGGAGGTTCCGTATCCCAGATCGACAGATCTCGGGGTCGAAGGTTAAGAGCGAGCGAACAGTCTTCACCTGCCACGGAAAAGGTCTGAAAGGACACCACTCACTCAGAGTTGTTGCCACAAGCTGCGAACAAGATGTCGGCCTGCATCCAGCCTTGCATGCGAGCACGTGACAAGTCACTACTTCGGAGGGCTTTCACGCCAAAACTCCCAGTGGGTGCACTTGACATGGGATCAAATCTTCATGAATCACACAGGTGCTTGTGCAAACTGAACTGATTCTCAAACCAGCAGCAGCTTGGTCTTGGCGAAGCCTGGGCGAAGTGAGAGTCTCACACAGCCTGTTCTGATGGAAAGACTGGGTTGCTGTTAAGGAACTTAATTTAAGTTACTATATTGGGGGAACCCTATTATTTACTATATATATACCCATTATGGTAACTTAATTTAAGTTCCTTAACAGCAAACGCAGAAGAATTCTGACCTCTGGGCACAGAACCCTTCAGTTGGAATGGCTCGCCAGCAGAAGCTGGAAATTCGAGGTAAAGCTGCGCCACCTGAAAGTACATATCACCCCAATTGGGGGTACCTACTATTAGGGGTTATATAGGGTTTAGGGTTTAAGGGGTTTCCCAAAATTTGGGGTACCTACTATAATGGAGAAT